CATAATTTTGTGCAAAGAAAAAACGCCCAAAGCAAAGCCTTTATTTTACATTTGCTCCATTACGAGTCCAATTATTTCATCTGTATGATTATCCCGATTTCGAATGTGTGAAATATGTTATGTGGATTTATTCTAACGTATTCATCACATACTCTGCTCCATCCAACATTATGAGTTACATTGTCTTACAGTGAATACACAGAAAAATGTTGTGAATGTACTTCCTTCATTTTATTCCAAACATTTTGCACTCAAGGTCCTTATGCCTGTAACATGTAGTATCTGAAAGTTTTATGAGTCCATTAGCCAAGCACAACAGTTTAAAAGTGTGATTTTGCATTCACAGGCTAGGGTAAAGAGACTGACGCTAGAAGAGTGCCAACAGCTTCTACAAAGATGTCTCACACGGGAACCTAGTCTCATCTTTGACCTGATGAGTCTCACCCCTGATCACCCTCAACCTGGACCTTGTCCTCCACACTCACCCAGCTGGTGTGTCTGTCTACAGTGCAGAAATATGGCAACACTGCTGGAACAAAAATGCTGTCAACAACCACAGAACTGTACATCACTGTTGCCACACATGGACTTATACATCTTGAATGAAGGTGCATTGAGACTGGCCAGACGAATCTGGAACGACCTTAGAGCGGAGGTTGACATCCACGATCCAGGAGAAAGCCATAGGCAGTTCCGCTATGCTGCATACAGGAACTTTATTGTCCGGCAGTATGGCCTTCTGGGACCTGGTGTTAGAATTGTAATACCTTCATGTTTTGTGTGGAAAATTAGAGATTGTTTCCCAGTTCCAAATGGACAGTATGTAGGCTTTCTTCCATCAAGAGTGTAAAACATTTGTAGATGCCTAATAAATCTTTTTGTAATTTACCTCAAAAAGAGACCTCAAGAGCTTCACTTGCACACTCATAACCTGATTAATTACACGGGTGTATTCTGACACTTCAAATATGTAATATTTCCAGGTTTTAATAAAAAAGTCTTCCAAGGTTTTCAAGGTGTTCAAACACAACTTTATTTTCTTTATTTATTAAATACATAAACAATTTACCTCAGCAAAAATTCATTAAACAATGTATGCGGGAATATAAACAAATGATTATGACTGTTTTTTATTAGCTCTTACGTATACAATCAATGTTTTATGAACGGCATACGTCCACCAGAAAATGTTTGACATGGCACTGTTGGGTATTTTTATAAATGTACCTTTTTGAGACCTAAAAGATGCCCATTACACATCATGAATCTCTGTGTTGGCTGTTCATAAAAAGGTTGAGCAAGGATGTTAATTGAGAAAACTCTGTACCTCTGTAACTTGAGAAGGTCCGCCTTCTCCCACCCTTTGCTTGAATAAAACCACTGAAGACTCTGAGGACTGGGGGAGTCGCCTGGCACCATAGCTCTGGAGAGAGTTATGTGTCATTTCGGTGATCTCCCCCTCATTTGGCTAATTCAGTGTAAAATGTCTTCCTTGTTGTCATGTGTGTTTATTTCAGGTTCCAGGGTTATGGAGGTTAAATATTATCTACCAGATAATTGAAGAATGCAGGTATGCAGAGCAGGTGAGGAGAAAGCTTTGAGGCTGGAGCAGAGTGGGGCCTGGTTGAGCCACACACATGGACATTACAAATAATCAATTTACTCTCGCTCTCTCTCTATCAAAGGGTGTGTCGTCCTTTAAGGTAATATGGGATAAAATTAAATTACCTATCAGGCACATTATGTACAGCTGAAATTGAAGCACAAATTTGGTACCCTATAGATGTAGGTACAGTTGTAAACATCAAGTTGTCTCTCCTTGTCACCCACAGCATTTGACATCTCACGTGTGAGATGGTTGACCTGTAGAAACAAAGAAAGTAGGTTGGCAGCATTTCTAGATATAAAATTTTATCTATTTTGTAAGTAAATGTGTCCCATGTAACAGCTGTATACACAGAGAAGGATTCCATAAACCATACAATGGAACTCACCAAGCCCTCGGCTAGCTTTCTTTTCCTTCAGTTCTTGTACTGATGGGGCGGGGCCACCAGACAACAGCCCAAGCCTTCGTGGATCATCAGGTGCAAGAGCTCGCGTTTCTGCCATCCCCTAGGAGCCAACATTCTGGAATGGAGAATGGCGCACTGTAGATCTGGAATGTACTTGTAGGCTTTGGGTTTCTTGATGGTGTAAAGCCACCACATATTGGATCTTTTGTTAAAAATCCTGCTATACCTAGGAGTACATTAGGGGTTGTATGAACTAGTCGACTAGTCGACTAGTCGACTTCACGGCTCTGTAGTGACTTTTTATGCCTGTCATCAACTAGTCGCTGTCACGTGATAATGACTGACAAGATGCAGTCCTCGGAAGACAGCAGGTGATGAGCCCCTGCGCGTCTGGATCGAGGCGGAGGCGACGCGCTGTGCGGTACTGACACCGGCGGTAAAACGGACATTTAACCAAACTGTGACCTTTTCCCTCTTGCAATTTAACCTTCCCCTCACCCCCATCCTAATCTTAACCAGTTTGTGCATGCAAAGCTCTGATCGTTGACGTGCGCTCCAGACATTGCGTCCTGAGCACCGCCAAATCAGGTGTCACCACCTCAAAAGCAAATTAAACACGCGATCGTTCATGTCGGCTCATTTCCTTTCATGTTTTCTGTCTGTTATTTGTGCCTGATGCATTTCGCTGCTGCGGAGCGAGGCACATCACCTGTTGTCCTCCGGTGACGCACCCCCAAGATTCCACTATCTCCACTCCGCTCCGCTCCGGCATGAACTCCGCAGCAAAAACGGTCCCGTTGTAGTCGGCCGGCGAGCAGCGGCACTCCGCTGTTTTTTGCGGTCGGTAGATCTTTTAGAACCGCAGTTCAAAGGTAACTCATGAGGTGAATATATATGAACGCAGGTAGCAGTTTTTCTTTAGGATTGAGAGGAGATGCAGGAAGATAATAAACAGGCAGGACAGAAAAATAGTCAAATAAAAACATGTTCGCTTTTGTACCTGCTGGTTGCAACAAACAGACACCACTGAAGGTAATCAGAAGTGAGGAACAGAAAATCATTATTTTAATGTTTAGAGCAGCAGGAACTCCGAGAGGCTGCAGGCGCATCAGTGAGTTTGCGGCTGCTGCGCAGGGGGAGGGGGGAGAGGGCTGAAGTAGGATGCAGAAACTACCGTTGTTAAAAGAGATGTGTTAACTTAGAAAATGTGGGCGCAATTTTAATTGTCAAAAACTCCAGCGAACCTACCGACCGACCCCCCGACCCCCCCCCCCCCGCTTCCGGCGTATGACGTCATCAACGACTAGTCGAAGTCGACTCGACTTTCATTACTTGACTGTCGACTTTAAAAAAAATAAAGTCGTGCAGGCCCTAGAGTACATACAAACACGTTGTGATGGAATCCTTCATTGTGCATTTTTCTATTGGTAGAATAAGGAAGTCCAGCAGCTGCTTCATAATGTCATGATAGACTATGGACGTGGGCTGGCCGATTACATCTTCTTCTCTGAAGACTGTTGTTGCATCTGGTGGAGTGGCAAATTTCTGGCTTTCACATTCATTGTCTTCTGGGTCATCATGCACAGTCTGATCAAGGCCAATCACCGGGCAATCCTCTAAGGACATTCCATTTGGGAGTGTAACACCAGACCTGTAAATATAAAGAAAAAATATTAACATCGCCTGGAGAACAACACATTCTTCCAATCACTCAAACTGGCAGCTTTTCACACATTCCAATGGTTCAGCATGTGATGAACCTGAACAATAATGAGCTTTTACTATTCAATAGGATGTTGGTGACAGACATCACATCTCTGTGTGTTTGGGACACAGCCTGGAATGTCAAACTAAAGCCTGGTTCATGCTTCTCCATCAGCTTCGCAAGGGAGAGACACGCACGGATTGACGGAAGCGTTTTGCTCTCAGACTTCTCTGTCTCCTGGCGAGTGTTGCAAAGCAATTCCCCACCAGGACAGCAGAGGGCGTAGCACTGTTCTGTTGTATCCTGTCATGTATCGGTCCAAGATGTGTGTTTATATTGTGTTTTATGTATATAAGAGACTTTTTAACACAGACAAATTTGTCTCTCATCCTCCTCCACCTCCTCATGCGCTCGCCACCTCTAAGCCCACGTTTCCTGTCATTTCCGTCCACAAATAAAACGATTGCTGCTTGCAGGAAGGCATTTTTGAAAAACAACATTTATGTTTACCTACATAACATTCATATGAAACTGTTCTAATACAACAAAGTACTTTCCATTAATAAATTATGAAATACAATAATACAAATACCTAACGCAAATGCCACAATCCAGGTCTTCTGCTTCCTCTTCAGCTGGGATTTCGTCCTCTGAAAAAACTAATTCATCGTTCTCATCTGACGATGACAGTGAATGTATCTCTGTACCAGGAGTCCAAGTAGCATCCAATGTGTCAACCCAGTCAATTCTAATGAAAGACATAGACCAAACAACAGAACTGATTTTTTACTATTGTATACAATCAAGACAAACATATTTTTCCCGTCAACAACATGCCACAGGACATTGCTCCAGACAAAAATAACATGTGCACATAACCATAAGCCTCCATAGCATTAAAACTTACACAGAATTTTGTAGATTGTTGTAGGTATCCTCTTCTATGTCGACTGTATGTACAATAGCTGAGGCCCTAGGAAAAATATTATTTTGGTCATAATTTAATCATAAAATAGATAGTGATCTACAAAGTAACTACCTCGTACTATATACTCTGATTTTACCTTTCTTTCTCTTGAGGAATAGTTTCTTCATCACAGCTGGCCATTTGTTGAACCCCCTCGACAGAGAAATCAGCTTCTCTGTAATTCTCTCACACACACACACACACACACACACACACACACACACACACACACACACACACACACACACACACACACACACACACACACACACACACACACACACACACACACACACACACACACAAAACTGAAATAAAAGACTTATAGAAACTATGGTGGGGAGACCAAGAGACATGAAGAAAACCAGGAGGGAGCTGGGGACAAAAAGGGCTGGAGCTGCAAGGACACAGAACGTGAAGGGACACCTGGAGGGGCTGGGGATGACTGAAGGAAGACAGGATCTGGGAGGAATGATCTGGAGGGCTGCAAACAGGAGACATATGAAGAACACAAAGAGACACATAAATGAGATGCAGACAAAGGACACATGAGGGCGCTAGGAGACACAAAAGGAGAACCTAGAGAGGGATGGAGAACACAAGGAGACACATGAGGGGAGACGCAGACCATGACAGTGTTGATTCTGAACCTTTTATATCAGATCATTGTGTTCATTACTTTACTTATTATTTTTCTTGTTTTGATGCTTATCATTTTTGTCTTGAGTTAATTCATTTGTAACCTGTTGGCCCTTATGACTAATGAGATGATTATCTTTCCTAGTTTACCCCTTTTCTATTACTTGATTTGTGATTGATGTAGCTTTCATAGTTAGTGCTGACAAGTTATGGAAGTGGATAACATTCCTTATTATTTTTGTAGCATTCAGTCAATATCGAGAAGGCCGGAACTGATGGTGAATGATAATTTATTGAGCCGTCCGTATCATCAACCAACCAACTTAAGAGCTAGGCATAAACAAAAAATAAATAAATCATAAAATAAACCATAATGCGTAACTGATTACATTGGTAGTCGTTTTCACAATTAATACAATCATATAGACACGTTCCGTTTTCATAACAACATTCTGAATTATAGTTACAAACCTTGTTCCCCTTATCAACTGAAGCTAGACAGAAGTATTCTTCAAACTTTCTTTGTCTTCTTCTCCGTGAACCGTTAATTGCTCCGTCTTTACTTCTAATAGATTTCCGTTTGCTTCTTCTGTGTTGCGCCCGTTGCGCCTCCCTACTTGGCTACGGTTGCTATGACGCTATCAAAATAAAAGCCCGTATACCTTTGCCGTTGTTAAACATAAAGAAATAGTTCACCTTTACATTCACCTTTACACTCCCACCAAATTATTTACTATTGAACATATAAACACATATAATTTTTCCATAACAATAACAGTAGTTTAACGGACACTTTGTATAAAATTCAAAAACAAAAAATAAATAAATAAAACATTTTCCAACACTTTAAAGCACTGTAGATTCAAACATTACAGTCTTCTAACAACAAGACCAACTTATGAACAGGGCGTTCTACCACAGACATTTTGCTGACACGTTGGCCCTTGTTGTTTAGATTTTTGTCTGCAGAGGCTATTTTGACCTTTCTGACAAGTCCATCAGTGTCCTGCACAGTGTCCACGATTCGACCAAGTTTCCATTGAGAGCGTGGTAGCATGTCATCTTTGTCCATCACTATGTCTCCAATTGCATGTTTCTTTTAGGTGTGTGCCATTTTTGTCTCACTATAAAGTTCTGAAGGTACTCTTTTCTCCATCTGCTCCAGAACTGCTCAAGAAGGTACTGAACTTGGCGCCATCGCTTTCGTGCATACAAGTCCTATTTTATGAATGTTCCGGGTGGAGGCAGAGCACTTGAAGTTTTCATTGTGATACACTTGTCCTTGCAAATCTTTGATGATCACAGTTTCAGCTATTTTCCTTTCAGCTACAGTGGTGAGTGTCTTTGATTTGTCCTTGAGCAGATATCGTCTGAGACGTGCAACAGCACTAACTGCACGGGACCAGGAGGAGAACTTTGTGAGGTGGTCACTGAGACTTGCATGTTTTACAGCTTGAGTGTTTAGGGTCTGCACCTTTCTCACCTCTGGGTCTCCTACTGGGAGCTCGATAGTCTTTCTTGTTGGAAGCTGTATTTCTCCTTTCCACAGAAACTGAGGGCCGGTGAGCCAGTTGGATGAAAGCAGTTCCTTTACAGAAGTGCCCCTGGAAGCCATGTCGGCGGGATTTTCATCAGTAGGTACATGAAACCATTGTTGCGGTGAGGTGTGGCTCCGTATTTTCTGCACTCTATTCGCAACAAACGTGTGGAAGCGCCTTGCCTCATTATTTATGTACCCTAAAGTGACCTTTGAATCTGTCCAAAAGAACTCTTCTACATCATCGTAGAGCAGCTCCTCCTTTAACATGTTGCTCACTGTGACTGATACTGTGGCTGCGGTGAGTTCCAACCTGGGTATAGTGGTGACCTTTGTGGGTGAGACACGTGCTTTGCCCATGACAAAGGCACAATGAACTTCTTTGTTTTTGTTTGTGAGTCTAAGATAGGTACATTGGCCGTATCCTGTGGTGCTTGCATCTGAAAAGTGATGTAATTCTCTTTTGATCACTTCTCCAAATTCTGCAGGAGCATAACATCTGTTTATCTGGACGTTCTTTAAATTTTGCAGGTCTCCTTTCCAGCACTCCCACCGTGGCCTGAGGTGATCTGGTATTGGGTCGTCCCAGTCTGTTCCTTGCCGGCACATTTCTTGGAGAATTCCCTTGCCGTTGAGCACATAAGGAGCTAAAAATCCGAGGGGATCATATATTGCTGCAACTGCTGATAGGATGCCCCGCCTGGTTGGGGGTTGGTCCTTCAGCATGATGTTGAACGTAAAGCAGTCTTTCTCTACATTCCAATAAATGCCAAGGGCTCTTTCTGTTTGTGTCTCTTTGAATGTCAAGTCCTTTGTTTTTGTATCTGTTGCCAGCTCTGATGTTGGGATGCTGTTTAAAACATCAGTGTTGTTGGATACAAACTTATGCAGCCTTAATCCACCCTTTGCACACAGCTCACGTGCTTCCTTTACTAGTTGAATAGCATCCTCAGTTTTTTGTACGCTGGTGACTCCGTCATCTACATAGAAGTCCCTGGTTATGAACTGTGAGCCTACAGGATATGCAGATCTGTTTTCCTTAACCAGATGTTTGAGTCCATAGTTCGCACACCCTGGGGATGAAGCAGCGCCAAAAAGGTGGACTGTCATCCTGTATGCTTGTGGCTGGCTGTTAACGTCACCATCTTTCCACCATAAGAAGCGCAAATAGTTGCGATCATCTTCCTTAACCTGAAACTGGTGGAATATTTTTTCAATGTCGCACATTAGAGCGACTTTATGCTGTCTGAAGCGCACCAAAACACCAGTTAAACTGTTGATCATGTCAGGGCCATTTAGTAAATGATCATTAAGGCAGGTACCATTGTGTTTAGCTGAACAGTCAAAAACTATGCGCAACCTGTCAGGTTTCTTTGGATGATAAACACCGTGGTGAGGTATATACCATATCTCACCAGGTGATCCACTATCGTCAGTTTCTTCTGCATCACCTCTTTTGATCATTTCATTCATGAATTTCATGTAATCCTCCTTGTATGTTTGATCCTTCATGAGTTTGCGTTTCAGTTGACTTAGTCTGCTTTCAGCAAGTTGTCTGTTAGTTGGCATTTGTGGTCTTTTCCTGAACGGCAATGGCATTTCATAATTTCCCTTTTTCGTTTGTACTATGCCTTCCTCAAGTTTTTGGAGGAATAATAGATCCTCTTGTGACACAGTCTTTTCATTTCTTTCAGTGTCTTTGAAGTCTCTTTCCAATACACGTATTGCGTCTGCTGGAGTGGAAGGAGGAACCTCTTTAACGGTGCATCTGTGACAAAGCCTGGTTGCCATGTCTGTTTTCTCTTCGGGGTCTGAGTTGCCAACAATGCTCCATCCCAAATCAGTCCGAAGAGCATAAGGTTCATTATCTTTTCCTAAGATTACTTGTTTAGGTGCTAGAGCTCTAGGACAAGTATAACCTATGAGGAGACTTATCTCACAACTGAGAAGTGGAGGGATTTCATTAGCAATGGGCAGCAAGTGACTCCACTGTTTGGCTGTTTCACATGTGGGTATGTGTTCTCTGTTAGCAGGGATGCAGTCCTTTGAATATGCCGTAGGAAGCTTTATGACTGTGGCTGAGTTATAGCCTCTCACCAAGAGATCAGACACCCTTTCACTGCTTACAACTGCATTTTTTCCCATCATGGTAGTCAGTTTTAGCTTTACTGGGCAAACATCTGCCTGCAGCTCATGTGTTACATCCTGATCAATGAAGACAGCATCACTCTGCGTGTCTAATAGCGCATAAACCAGTTTTTCTTTGAGTGGGTTGTTAGCAGTTGACAGCCACACTGGAACTATCATTGATGTGCTGATTGTGTGTTCAGGTCTGGTAACATTGAGTGACATAGCCGTCGCTGCTGCAGGTGAGTTACCTTGAGTTCCATTATTTACACTCACATGTGTCTCCTTTTGTAGGCTGTTCCAATAATTGTCGTCATGAAGACAGGTAGGATGCCTCTTTGAGCAGGTGTCACAACTGAAGCGGCGTTTGCAGTCTTTGGCATTGTGACCTTGTTTTAGACAACCATAACAAAGTTTATTCTCCTTCACAAACTTTCTTCTGTTTTCTAGAGACAGTTTTAAGAAGTCTGGACACTTGTGGAGTGGATGTGCAATCTGACACAGACAACATGAAAACTCCTTTGATGTTATTATTATTGACTGTGTGTTACTTTGTTCCGTTGAATTTGTCTTAAAAACACTTGCTTTGTTCGCTTTTCGTTCTCTTGTGTTTCCTTTGTCGCTGTTAGTTTCAGAGTAACGAAGGGCATGAATGGAGGTGAATGGGTTACATGCAACTTCAGCTTCAACAGAGAGAAAGGACGCAAAGTCACTAAAACTTGGAAACTCACCACCTCCCATTAAAGTCTTTGTTACCTGTCTGTTCCATCTTGCATTTATCCAGTCTGGTAGTTTGTGCAGTAATTTTTGATTTTCCTCACAGTCGTTAAGTATTTGCAAACCCTTTACATGAGGCATAGCGAGCATGCATGCATTTAGGAAGTCCGCAAAAGTTCTTAATCCATCAGCATCTCTGGACTGCACCTTTGGCCAGTTTGATAGCTTCTCTCGGAATGATTTCTGTATAATAAAGGGCTGGCCGTATCTTTGGTTTAACTTGTCCCAAGCATCCTTATATGCGGCTTCATCACTCCTAAAGAAAGTCCCTTCAATGCATTTGCGAGCTGACCCTGTTACATATCTCTTCAAATAGTACAGTTTATCTGCTGCTGAGATGCCCTTTTGATCAATCAGTGATGTAAATGTGGATTTCCATTCAATAAAATGCATTGGGTCGCCACTAAAAACTGTTGGTTCTGGCGTAGGAAGTTTGTTTAATCTTATGCTGTCTTGAACTGCCTGTGCTAGCTGGGTAACACTGGGGGGAGCTTCCTGCACTGCTGGTGCCAACTCAGTAACACTAGGGGGGGCTGTCTGGACAGAACCAAAGGAGACAGCTGGTAACGGCTGTTTAGGTGTGATGTTTGGGCTCACCTTTTGATCTGTAATTGAATGTACATCACCCACTTTTAGTAAATGCCTGTCGTATGCTTCAAATCTGGCTCGAGCTGCTTTCACATCCCTTTGTGCTCTCAGGCGTTCTAACTCTGCATTTTGAACTGCCACCTGTTTTTTATGCTCTTTCTCTAGAGCCCTTATTTTTTCTTGGTGTCTTTGTTCCTCCAGCGCGACCTCATTCTCAACCTCCTTTGCTGCTAGTTCTGCTGCTGCTTCAGCTCGTTTTGCTGTAAGATGGGAAGCTGAGGATCGCTGGCTGCGATTTGATGCTGCAGTTGATCCATATATGGAAATGGCGTAGTCATGCTCTAAAAGTTCACGTAAACGAGCTTTTTCACGATCTGCATCAAAATCTCCATCAACACCACTTATTCTTTCCAGAATTATCCATATGATCTCCTTAGTTATTGCTTCACATGCATCGATCTTTCTCCTTACGTCAGATGATGGTGCCATTTGGGTTCTATTTTCTGAATATAACTTTAATATATCATCTCTCCTTTCTTCTATTATGTCAGCAAGTTCTGACATCTCCTTCACTGTTATATCTTCCTTTAATTTTTCTCTCGTTTCACGAGCCTGTGCTTTCCATTGCTCATAAAGAACAAGCATTCTTTTTTCCTTTTTGATCATTTCTTCCCGTAGATATATCATTTTTTCTGTTTGGACTTTAACTCTTTCAGAGCGTCTTGGCAGATCTGACGTGTTTTGAAATTTATCTTGAAGTTCACTTATCATTTGTTCTTTGCATTTGATTGAATCTTTAATGTCCTGTCTCGCATTACTTTCATCCTGAAGTGAGTCCTTCAAGCCTTGAATTTCCCTTTGCAGAGTTGTAATCTGTTCAGTTGGGGCCGTTTGACTTACTGTTGCAGCCTGTAAGTCTTCCATTTTACTTTGCCTTGATCCGTTTCAATTCCTGACCAACTTCTGCCCTCTGCTGGACGTTGCGGGTTCTGCCGTTGAACCTTGAAACCACACCGTTCGGCAAGAGGGGGCGGTCAAGCTCTTACTGTAGCATTCAGTCAATATCGAGAAGGCCGGAACTGATGGTGAATGATGATTTATTGAGCCGTCCGTATCATCAACCAACCAACTTAAGAGCTAGGCATAAACAAAAAATAAATAAATCATAAAATAAACCATAATGCATAACTGATTACATTGGTAGTCGTTTTCACAATTAATACAATCATATAGACACGTTCCGTTTTCATAACAACATTCTGAATTATAGTTACAAACCTTGTTCCCCTTATCAACTGAAGCTAGACAGAAGTATTCTTCAAACTTTCTTTGTCTTCTTCTCCGTGAACCGTTAATAGCCTATCCTTTGCTCCGTCTTTACTTCTAATAGATTTCCGTTTGCTTCTTCTGTGTTGCGCCCGTTGCGCCTCCCTACTTGGCTACGGTTGCTATGACGCTATCAAAATAAAAGCCCGTATACCTTTGCCGTTGTTAAACATAAAGAAATAGTTCACCTTTACATTCACCTTTACAATTTTACTTCTTTTTATTTTTCCTTATTTGGTTTTGTTTTGCTTTGTTGCTTCCCTTTGTTTGGTCATCCTATTCGGATAAACAGGAGGGAATGTTCCATGCTGTAGTTCTTTTTTAAAACACAGAACAGTTTTGTTACCCGTTTTCCTGCTACGTTTCGTTTGCGGCTGCAAACTTCCTCAAGCTGACGATGATGGTGGCGTCACTTCCTTCTCTGTTTATCCAAAGGAAGTGACGCCACCATCAGCGTCAGCCTGAGGAAGTTTGCAGCCGCAAACGAAACATAGCGGGAAAACAGGTGTAGCGTGAGGAAGTATGGGTTTTTCTGTGCCAAAGGTTGTATTTGCCCGGCTGGGTCAAAGCTGGGTCACCAGCACTTTCACCCACAGATTAAGACCTGAGCCACCAGCAAGTCTACAAGGAATCAACAACATCTAACACCTGCATCACCAGAAGAAGGAGTTCTCACAGGAAGTCTAGTCATAATAAAGAGTCTTACGCTTTCTTTGTTTATTAATGCTAAATAATCAATTTATCATTTTGCTCATTATAAATGTGTTTTAATCAAATGAATGATTATTATGCTCTGGGTAATCATAATAACTATAATGAATCAGTATACTTAATTAAATAATGTTTTGGGAGATGTTTAGTGATGACCTTCACTCTCGCTCACACAGGTCTGGATTCACAGTAACTCCAAAACACATTTGCTCTGACACACAAGTTTGCTTTGGGAAGAGAAGTGGTTTTTGGTAAGTTAGCCAGAACAAGATTGAGAACGAGAGAGAGCGGACGTGCTGAACAAACGCCAACGGGGAACGGAGCCCGCCGGCTCTTTTCTCCCCCCCACGCTATTTCTGTCAAGCCAGACAGAATAGCTGAAATGCAACCGCTAACGCAGACTCGTCCAGAGTCTTTGATTTCTGAGTTAATTTAAACTTGAGAAAGCGCATCTGCTAAACGCTTCATCAACGTGTACCGAGGTCAACTCTGGACTGGACCGTCAGCACACCTTCGTCTTCTCTGCCAGCCAAGGTGTGACCTGGATAACATCCTCCGAGGTCCGGATCCGAAAGGGAGTCCTACGTACGGTGAGGCTGAACACCATAGATAGCGTTCTGATGCAGTTTTTCTAATAAGAACTAAGTTTAATTCAAACCACCATTTTTTCACTCAGATTCGCATTTTCTCTCCCTGAAGCAATCTCATACACATACTGTACATGCATGCATTCATAATTCCATCATTCTCAAATCTTAGCACATCCAACACAAGGTCTATTTGTGCAAGCTTAAAATATCAACTGTTAAAGATTGTCCAACAAGGTTGCCAATGTTGATTATTTTTCCTATGATTGTCATTTTAAATCATTAGTTTAAATTGAAGAATTAAAACTCTTAAATTTCAAACTTGTCTCTTCATTGAACTGAAACACAGACACACGGATATGATCGTCAGTTTATCGATGAAAACAACCTTTGAGTCTTCTTATCTCTATAAAATTTGGTTATTGATTTATTAAAATTAATATCTCAAATTAATATGTAGAATGGTTCCTCTTTAATAAAAGAGCTATGAACCATTACACTACACAGGTAACAAAACTGTTCTGTGTATTAAAAAAGAACTATTACATGGAATTAGAAATACGACACAGCAAAAACACACCTAAGAGGAGGGAATGTTATGGAAAAATGTGTTTATTAATTCTTGATCATGGACTCAATCAATGTAAATGTATTGCTCTATGCCTCTCTGCATGCTCAGTCATTCAGAAACACCCACACAAGCCACTCACACACACGCACACACACACACACACACACACACACACACACACACACACACACACACACACACACACACACACACACACACACACACACACACACACATTCTTGACTTCCCCCACACACACAATCTCTCCCTCTCTATAAATAAAGTCTGTGACCGGATGTTCGGTTCATTATGCTTCGAGCATCTTGCCACAGTTATAAATGTTTTAATTGTTGTTCATTCTCTCCTTCTCTCTTCACTACAGGAAATGGGTTATTGATAAACATATCGATAAAATCCATGACAAATATATTTTGTGACACGAAACATGAAGAAAACTCGCTGCCTCTTGCTCAAAATAGTCTCGATTCTGAGACGTTTGGAGCCTCCCTAAAGGAAAGGAAAACGTTCTGGAGACTGAAAGCAAGTGGTATTTGGAGATAAGAGACTTCTCTTTCTGCTCCGTTAATACAAATGATGGATTAGTTTGTTTTTATGAGTATTTTGAGCCTAAAAGGCAGTGAAAAAAAACACAAGTGAGGCCATGTTTGAGTCTGCGGCGGAGCAGCGGGGCGGGCTGCCTCTCCACGGTTCTCATGTGTTTTATAAGTCCCGCCTCTTGCTCTCAGTCACGTTCAGAATAGGAAGTGCAAGAAAAGCAAACCGACGTGGCAGAAGAAGCTCCAGCAGCGGCGCCGGCTAAAGCCCCTGCCAAACCTCCCGCTAAAGCCGCTAAGAAGTCCGCTCCCAAGAAGGACGGACCCAACATCTCCAAGCTCATCATAGCGGCCGTGGCCGAGTCTAAGGAGCGCAAAGGCGTGTCTCTGGCGGCGCTCAAGAAAGTTCTGGCCGCCAAAGGAGTGGACGTGACGAAGGCCAAAAAGTGGATCAACACTTATCAACACCATCACTGAGCTGGCCACCAAAGGCACCCTGAGCCAGACCAAAGGCACCGGCGCTTCTGGCTCCTTCAAGATCGCCAAGAAGGAGCCCGCTGCTGCCAAGGCAGCCAAGAAGGTGGTGAAGAAGAAGGCTCCCGCAAAAGCCAAGCAGACCACTGCAGCCAAGAAACCAGCAACAAAGAAACCACTTGTTAAGAAGTCCCCCAAGAAGGCTCCGGCCAAGAAACCAGCAAAATAAGTTGTTAAGAAGAGTCCGAAGAAGGTCGCAGCCAAGAAGCCAAAGGCTGCTAAGAAGCCAACGGGGAAGAAAGCTGCTGACAAGAAGCCCGCAGCTAAAAAGGCCAAGAAATAAGCTGCTGCTTCATCCCGCACTCGGTGCACCAAAGGCTATTTTCAAGCCACCACACTGATAAAGAGGCCATTCTACCGACATTGCAGTGTAATATACTTTTATTAGTCTTTTAGAAATTGGATAAAACAGCCTAAACTACAATGACAACCATGTTGTCACATAGATTTTAATGTTCTATATTACGGTTATTCTGAGTAGCACATAAAATTTCTTCTGCTAAATGAAACGTGCTATGTACACTGAACAAAAATATAAAAGCAGCACTTTTGTTTTTGCTCCCATTTTTCATGAGATGGACTTAAAGATCTAAAATTCATTCCAGATACACAATATTACCATTTCTCTCAAACATTGTTCACAAATCAGCCTAAATGTGTGATAGTGAGCACCTGTGCTTTGCTGAGACAATCCACCCCACCTCACAGGTGTGCCACATCAAGATGCTGATCTGACATCATGGGTAGAGCACAGGTAGCTGCCTTTCCTAGAATAAGGGAGGGCTGTATTCAAACAGCCCACCAGAGGGCGCCAAAGTAAACTAAACACACACACAGATATGTGTGTGTGTGTGTGTGTGTGTGTGTGTGTGTGTGTTGTGCTCCCCTGCAGTCCAGAATCTCCAAAACCTGCATATGGGATGAGTTTTTAGCAGAACTAAGTAAAACTACATGTGTATTCTGGACCGTCCTGCCGTGGTCCTGACCTGTCCCCTCCGGACAAACCAAAACCGTGATGATGAAGAAATGTTTCTGCTAGGCCTGAAACTTAACTGGGCCGTTATTTATGGAGCTAGGATTGGAACAATATTCAATGTAACTTGTACCAAGTTTTGTAACTTGGAACATGTTTCATGGCATGTAACTTTGGATTCGTAACTTGTAACTTTAGTTTTCTAACTTGTAATTGTCAATTGGTACTTGTATTTCTTGTTTTGTAACAGGAAATTGTCATTTTGTACATGTATTTTTTATTTTGTAAAATCCAACTTTTATTTTGTACATTTACTACTCATTTTGTAACATCAAACATTCATTCAGAAACATGAAACTTTCAGTTTTTACCTAGCAGACTTCCAAAATAAAAAATCAATGTACATGTTTGAAATCAAAACTCTCAAAACACACATTTCATTCTACAGGTACAAACCTTAAATGTACAATGTTACAGACATCGACATATAAATATTGGACAATGGGTTTCCATAGACTCCACTAACAGGTTTTTGAGGAGAAATGGGAGGTGGCCACCACCGCCAATTTGACCGTGTCACAGGTTCCATCAAGCCCAGACAATTCCACAAAAGGGAAGAGAGGTGGAGCTGAGGGTGGGGCTGTAAGGCTGGGATCAACTGACGACACTGGTCGAACTAGCTACAAGCTAACCTGAAGCTAACCCAAAGCTAACGCGGAGGTGGGAGCTAAGCTAACGGAGGTAGCAACCTAGCTACAACCGGAGTTAACTGTGCACAACACCAGAGCTTCTGAGTCAGAGATAGGCCGGGCTGACCGCTGGGTAAAACCGGGTGGAACACAGAGGTCTCCCGAGAGCTTCACAAGCCGGCAGCCTGCGCAGCAGACAGAAGCCGCGATCAGACAGAGATGCGCCGAGCTGCGAGGAGGGGAGAACTGGTGGAAAACATCGGTCTCCCGAGAGATCCACAAGCTGATAGTCGGAACCCAGCTCCACCAAGATGTTATATTTGAACCCATTTTCTAAAGTGCAGCATTATGTTAAATGCACTGGGTTTTACCCTATTACATTTAAATTTCATGGTTAAACAGTACATGTTAAAATCTAAGCTCAGCTCGGCACTGACCTAAAATACATAAATATAATTTTACTTACCAAAAAAATGAAGTGGAGACTCCATGGATGCTCTATTAGTGCAGTTAATGCCACAGCAAGTCATTTTGTCCAACAATTGCACAAATAATATCCAAACAAGAATACACAAACACAGAGACTAAAAATCCCAGAACAGTTTCCAGGCCAGACCGAGGCTCTACTGAGGCCTTTCCACGGAGCTAGCTCTGTGGTCACATGGGTCTGAGGCGGCGGTCATGTGGGTCTGATG